ATGTAATATTAAAATTTTCTGAGACATTGAATTTTGGTTTTTCATTTTTTCCCAGTAAGAGGTTTTTATTTAATAGAATGTTTGGACAAAAAAATTGCAATATATCGCAATACTTATCTTATATATCGCCTTGCTTATAGTATCGCAATATATCGGGATATATCGCCTTGCTTATAGTATCGCAATATATCGGGATATATCGTATCGTGACCCCTCTATCATGAATTTTTAGTCGGAAAGCGGGAGAGTTCACAATTCAAGAAGGCGGCTGCCATTGGAAGGTATACCATATTTATTCATGTATCATCATCATGTTATGAGCCACCACTCATTTCAGACAGACTTCAGGATTTTTCAGCCTTTGTGGTGCGCCCCCTGGTGGTGAAAAATTATTTGCGGAAACTGTGAGCGTGTTTTGTTGCAGAGTGTTTCCAGTCACTGATAAAACAATCTGCTCCAGAGCAGAGCAGAAGCCAGTTGGTAAATTATTAAGATGATTTATCAGAACATGCAACTAAAGTTCAAGTCTTGTTTACGTCACAAAGGTTAACAAAAAAGAAAAATATGTTTATTCTCCTTGGACTGCAGTGAGTAAACAGCTGCAGTTTATAGGCTTTGCTTTGTGCAACTTACAACGGGAGGGAGGGAATAACTCAGTTTTATACAAGGAACTATTGAAACCTATTGTGGTTGTACATTAAAAAACGTCAGTCAAAATTCACCATGTATAACACCCCCCCAACTTCACGAATGATTTCAGGGGTTAAATTTCTCGTATTATATACAAATAAATACGGTAGTTCTGCTCATCAGCTGACAGCTAACAGCAGAACTAATTTTTCATTTAGCGGGTTAGCTTTGTCACCAACTTTGAAAACCGTTAGCGGATTAGCTTCCACTAAATTAGGTTTTAGCAACGTTAAGTTCACTAACAGCTAACAACAGGTTTGTGTCAGTCCCACCAGTCTAAAAGGAGACAAAGACGTAAACACAGACTGCGATCAGTCTTAGAGGGTAGCTGTTAGCATTAGCATCTGCTAATTCTTACTTGCGTAGCTGTTTAGTGTTAGTGTTAGTAAAGCTATATTTTTAGTAAGTCAATTATGAGTTAAAAAAGCTAACTGTCACCAGAACTTAGTAAAACTCTCTTACTTTTACTTTCTGTAATATTTATTTCACATTTAGTCAGTCGTACATGCAGTACTTTTCAGGGTTTATAAGGGGATGTGTTAAAACTGTTTCTATGCAGGAAATACCACGTAGAGCTCAGCTATTGTTTATTAGGGTGCTAACAGTATTGAGACGTTGAAGTCAAAGTTAAAAGAAACATTGAAGTTAACTGCAACTAGTTCTTTAAGGGTCACCATGATGCTCATGTGACCCTCAGTGAAAATGATTTAGAGCAGGCATTAAACTGAAGGCATGCAGGCCAGATAAGGCCTTTATTACCATTTAGTCTGACCCATGAGACAATATTTTAAATTGTATACACCGTCAATCTAATCTGTTACTACTCAGATTAGCTCATTTGACCATGTTGAAGGCCAAACATTAAACTGCGTTGAAATGTTTTGCTGAAATGCACTACATATTTTCTTTATTTTATTTTATATTCTCCTCCCTTTTCAAAGTGTCAGTAGCTGTTTGTTTGCTACTTTGATGGTTTGTGATTAATATCAGGACACACAAAGTAAAAACTGGTAACGATATGTCTTAAAATTAGATTGTCGCTTTATAATCAATATTTATGTTTGAACTTTTCGTCTATTTCTAATAACTGTACCATCAACTGACGTTTGCACAATAGGGCTGCCACGATTAATCGATTAGTCGACGACTAATCGATTATTAAAATAATCAATGACTAATTTAATAATTGATTAATCGTTGTCCTTTTTTTGTTGTTCTTTACTTTGT